TGCATTTAATATGTTTATTATAATATTATTGTTTTTCATATATAAGATATTTACATCGTCTTTGCATTCAGAGGAAGAATGCTTATATTTATGAATTTTTTGACCCTGTTGCCATTCAAAGTGTAAGGAATAGAACCACTGAAGTGCAAACATATTTGATACAAGCATTTCAAAATTCAGGCAAAGTGTACTTAGCACCGTACTTGTATCAGTAAGTATATAATATTTTCTTAACAATGATTTTTACCTTTCAATTAGTACTAATGTTATTACAACTTGTAGGGCTCATTGACAACTGTTAAAAATTATCCTTCGATAATTTTTAGTGGTTCTTTTGTGCTCACACAAGAAAATTACTACTTTGGCTATTAGGAATATAATAGACTCGTAAATCTCTTATTCAACTATATTTTATTTATTATATAATTTAATATTATGAATTAATTGTTTAATATAATTTAATAATTTACTTTGTTTTATATAGAGCTATAGATGCACATATAAAGTTGTGGGGTTTCCACAAATTGCTACGAAGAAACTTCAGTATATTGCACATAATATAAATTATTTGTATAATTACTGTTTATTTGTTAAAATGACATATATTTTCATTATCATTTTTGTATTTTGCAATGTCCACGTGAACCAGTAAACCATGAGTGTGGTATTATATGATGAAACACATGCACACAATCATATTTGCTAGCATTATTGACTCATGAAAAGAGGTAATATAAAAATAAAATTCAAGGACACAAGCATATGTTGCATGCTACACATATTAATTTTATTATTTGCATGAGAGTAATTTGGTAAAGTTAATGATGAAAGAGTATGAATTAAAAAATGTTTGATTTTGTGTTGACCAATAACAACCTTGGGGTTAACAAGCTCTGTCATGTATTATTTGTTATACATCTTTAATATCAGTCATACATCTTATTATTTTGTTAATTATTATTTTTTTATTTTTAATTATTTATTGATTAAATAAATATTGATTTTGTATATATTCAATGACTCGTACCTATTGAAAGAAGTTATAGAAGCTATAAGAATGTAGTAAACTTCTTATTTTGTAAGTATTTTTGATAATTTATAAATTATTTTAACTTAAAATGATGTAAATTAAATAACATAATATACACTTAATATTTTTTTAATGTATTTTGTATATTATTATTAAATGTATTATGAATTTATGGAGTATATAGTCTGCTTGCAAAATATATATTTATTATTATACAAAGAGGTTGATGTATAAAAAAAATTAATTTAAGAAAAAACTATAACTTTTAATCTCGATTACAAATATAACCGATAAAAAAGATGCACTTTCTATGACAAGTCATACCAAATCTATTATAAAAAAAGTGAAACATTCTATGACGGTTGGTATCTTAACCGTCATAAAAAATATCTACGTCAGATTCATTTTTAATCTTAATTTTTAAATTTTTTATAACGGTTGGATGTACAACCGATATAAAAAAATGATGTTTTAAGACATTTCAAAATTAAACATTAAAAATAAAGATTTTTTATATCTCCTATATGTATGGAAGTTTAGAAACCGATATAAAAATGTCTGTCTTGAATTATGAAGTTTAATAAAAATATATAATTATGTTATTAATTTAAATTTGAGAAAATTATATGAATCATATTTTTATGATAATATAATGTGAATTTAAATAAGTTAGAACTAATCATCTAAAATATTTAAATAAATTTGTAAAATTTATTGATTTAATTTAATCAAAGTATATATATATATATATATATATATATATATATATATATATTTTTTTTTTATATATATACTTAAAAGAAAATATACATAGAGATGGTATATTTATGCTTTTTACAGTTGTTTTCTTGACGAGGGAAAAGCTGTAGCTGTTTGACTCTGAACTGTTGTTGTTTGCAGTGTGATTACTTTTCATCGTGTTTTTGTGGTTGAGAGTTTTACTATACTCTTGGGAAATACACAAATTCTCGAGTTAGACTAAGACCAGTGTCACCTGAAATTTTGTGAAAACAATGAATGTTATGGCGTGTGTATGTACACAAAACAAAACAACACTATTGTAATAGTACTGATTTCCCTCTACCTCATTAATTGGTTAATCAAATTATGCTTTTCATCCAAATATAATGGTAATTAATTTTATAATTTATTTTGTAAGGTCATTAGAATAATTTTTTTCACAGCAAGAGAGAATTGTTTTTTTTTTAAATAATCAGAATAAATGTAAATAAAAAATCGGATTAAAATAAAAAGTATTTTAAAAAGACCTCAATTGTGGTTCCAAATGGATTAAACCATGTAAATATTAAAAATATGCAAATAAAGGTTTAATTATTATTTAATGAAATGCAGCAGATGCAATGTAGTAATAAAACATACTAATTACACCACCAAGTATTAGAGTAGAAATGTTTCGGTTCAAATATTAAGCATTTAAGAAAAAAGATGAAAACTTTGGCATGTGAACGAGAGTAAATGTTTATAAACAAAAAGGGGCAGGAAGACTCAAAATGGCATCTAATTGTGGAAGAATTAAATGTTGTTTTTGTTGACTCCAGATTATTTCTTGCTAAAGTTTATATGAATATGGGTTAAAAAAACAGTGTTGTTGTGTCTTTCAACTTTCATCACTGAAAGCATTCCACACTTTTTCCCGACACATGTACCAAAATGTTTAATTGTATATTTGTCGTAAATCTTAAACAAAGTGCAGGATAGACAGATTGGAAGAACACGGGGGAAAGAATAGTGACCAACTGAAGCAAGAATTAATCGTGGACAGGTTTGAAACTTGGCATGCATACTCCAAGAGGCGAGTAGGTGCGCAGCTATTAGTTACGGATGTGAATCATTCAGCAGATTCACGGGTAACATATTATATAAAATGTATGGTATTCTGTTATATATATGTAGAATGGAGTAGAGTATGACGAAAATAAAAAAGAAAACAGACATTACATTGAATATGACTTGACAAGTTGGGTTGATTGATGGTATGTTAGTTATGGGGTTTGTTTTATTATTGTTTAAACGTACTAAACGACGAGATGACCTTGGAGAAGAAAACATTCCCATACACAATGTTACACCATTGACTAATTGCATATGCAGGTGAAGGCTCTTAATAGAGAACAGTTTAGGGGGCCACCTAGCTAGCACTAGCACTAGCAATAGCAACGTATTCAGTAGGTGGGTGTGGTGGTGGTGGTGATTGTTTTGTTTGGTTTGGTTTGGTTCTCCTTTGCCAGCCAGAAATGACAACTGATTAGGGCTTTTATTGGCAGTGCAGTAGTAGGGGAAATGCACAACATTACAGAATCACAGTAGAGAGGGGATATGGATATGCATTGTGCTGTAGTTTGCATGGTACTCTCCTTACATATTTTGCATGCACATCTCATAAATAACAGACATACAAATAGTAGGGATTCAGAATTTGCAGGGCGTAGGCCCTCCACCCAACGAAAAGCTAGAAATAATTAATCAATTATAGCTTTCAAATTCTATATCAGCCGTGACAGACTTCTTCACTAACTCGAGAATTGAGTCATTCCTTCATAATGACCAAAGGGTTATACCTAAGAGGCAAACGGAGAGAGAAACAAACCAAGCCAAAGCCACACACACATACACAAGACATGGACAGATTTGCTTATTACAACAGGACAACCCCTCGATCAATTTAATCCAATTAATAGATCTGGACCATGCAAAAAGATTCCAAATGGGTAACATAACATGCAGTAATTTTCCTTGTTTAATTGCTACGTCCACCCACCTCAAAGGTGTAAGTAAATTTATCATCTCACTGCCTCATTTTAACTTTAGCTAACTGGCAAACCTACTTAAAACAAACAAATCATGTCACCACTTCCCAAAAATACATACCACAGTTTATGTAAATAATTATTGGAGAAGAAAAGTATATGGAAAATGTTGATAAATACAGACATACTACTACATGTAATGTGGTGAAATGAAAAAGAAAATGAAGGATGAGAGAGAGAGAGAGAATTGAAATCCGTACAGTAGATTGTGCAGAGAGGGAGAGAGAGTGTGGTGTGCATGGACAGCATATTAGACAAAGAAAAGGTTAAGGAGTAGCAGAGAGGGAGAGAGGGGCAGTTCGGATTGAGAATTAGTGTGAAAGGCACGAGACGTGAAGGGAACAATAAATGAGAGGGGGGAAAAGAGAAGGGCTGATGAGGCTCATGATAACCCTCATGATCGTCACGTCGTTTTTCATTCCCTACTCCCAAAAATCTCCCAGAATTCCACGCTTCCTCACTGACTCCCTTCTTTGCTTTTCTTTTTTGCCTTTGTCCTCTCTCCCACTTTCTCTCTCTAAATAGCCTAGTCAACCTCATGTCCCCCTCACTTTGTCCCATATTAAACCAACACCCCCCTTTCTCATTCTCTCTCTCTCTCTCCCCCCCCCATATGCTAGCTAGAGAGAGAGTGATCAATCCCCATCTCTGAATCCTCTCAGACACAAAATACTTCACACACTACTCTACTTTCAGCTTCAAATTCAACTAACTACTCACTTTCAACAATGGCCTTCACCCTTCACCTCTTTCTTACCATCAACCCATGCCATATATAACCCTTCTCTACTTTTCATTTCAACTAGCTAGCTCTTACCATTTTCTGGGCCACCTTCACATCACTCACTACCTTGCATGCTCCACACCCCTTTTTAGATTCTCAACTCAACTCCCATCCTCACTCCACTTCTCTATTTCAATTTCCATCACCCAATCCGCAACACAACCAAGGAGAAACCAACTTTTCCTCCCCCCCCCCTAATTATTACACTTCATTGATTTTAGATACTATATATATATATATAGGTATACTACCTTCTTTCAGCTATTTATAAGCCCTTTCCACCCCCCACCAGCCCAACACTGCCCAAACCCTACCTTTTGGTTTTTAAAAAGTCAAGAAGAAGCCAGCAGCAATGTGGATGGTTGGTTACAATGAAGGTGGGGAGTTCAACATGCCTGATTATGCACTCAATGGAAGGAAACTCAGGCCTCTGATGCCAAGGCCAGCGAGTTCTCCTAACAACACTTCAAACGCAAACACTCCATGCTTGACCCGCATTCATCATGGCAACGATTTCTTTTCACAATATCACAATCTGGGTATGGTCTTTTTTCTTTCTTTATTTTAATTCCCCCACCTACCAACCTTTTTTATTTACCCTCTCTATTTCTCTGATTGTGTTTGCATGCGAGTAATGGTGTGTGTATATGAACATGTATAAAGAGTTTTATGTTTTATTAGCATCAGTGGCAGATCAGGGAAAGAGAGAGTTCAACCCTCCCCCAGTGGTGGTGAGTTCAAGGTGGAATCCAACCCCGGAGCAGCTAAGGGCATTGGAGGAATTGTATAGAAGAGGGACAAGAACACCATCTGCAGAACAAATCCAACAAATCACGGCACAGCTTAGAAGGTTTGGAAAAATTGAAGGGAAGAATGTCTTCTATTGGTTTCAAAATCACAAAGCGAGAGAAAGACAGAAACGCCGCCGTCAAATGGAGTCGGCTGCTGAGGGTCATCACACCCGTGACTTTGATGGTACTCTTGAAAAGAAAGACTTAGGTAAAAACTACACAACATAATTACCACCATACTTGTTTCCTTGCATGATAGAGACAAATAATGAGAAAGGCTCTCATGTGTCTTGATTTGCAATGCATGGCTGATGGCTTCTTTTGTTTCTTTTTCGTTTTCTCCAATTGAGTTTTGTTTGTTATTGTATGAGCTGCTTTTCTTTTTTTCTCATTCGGATTGTTGCTTGAGATGTAAAGTTATATTCTTTTTTGTTTTTCTTTTTGTCTACAGGCGCAAGTAGGACAGTGTTTGAAGTTGAACAGACCAACAACTGGGCACCCTCTTCAAACTGCAGTACGCTTGCAGAGGTCTATTATTCTATATCCACCTTTGTCTTTGTCCTAGTTCATGGACTAACCCTTTTTCTCAACTAGGGATTTTCACTGCTTAATCACCAAAAAGTTTTAGGGTATCATAAGGGTCCATTAAGCAGTGATTTAATTAATTATTGGCACATGATTATTAGAGAATGAAGTTGATGTTGGAGGCGTTATAGAAAGATATGCACTAGCTAGCTAGCTTTAGCTAGGGAAAGGACCCTAACAAAAGCTATGTTTGTTGGGAAATGAAAAGGTCCTAAAAGCTGCACTCCTTCCTTTCTGTCGGGGCTGCTGTTATGAAACTTAGCTGGGCTTTTGGGGCTTGTGCTTATTCATGTCATTCAGGCCAGTAGCTTTTGGATACTCCATACAATATTCTATGGAATTGAGCACCCACATTGATGATGGAAAAGACAACTCTCACCCTACTTTAATTTGACTTCTCATAGACCATGCAACTTTATTTGAAAATACTACCAACTAGGAGTGCATGCCCATTTGAAATCTGTGCTGTCCAATAACTTTTTTACTTTGCTCTTTGGCTTTTTACCACACATGTTGAGATTTTCATGAGTTTGTTTTCATTGCATGCCTACATTTAAAATCCTCAGGAATCTGTTTCAATACAAAGGGCAGCAAAAGCAGCGGTTGCAGAGTGTAGAACAGATGGATGGCTCCAATTCGATGAAGGAGAGTTACAACATAGAAGAAACTTAATGGAGAGGAATGCCACGTGGCATATGATGCAGTTATCTTGTCCTCCCCCTCCTACAGTTTCACCCCACCTCATAAACGCTCCTCCTACCATCCCTACTGCTAGCATGGCCACCACACCCACAGTAGCAAGAGTTATGGACCCAAAGCTCATTAAGACTCACGATCTCAGCTTCTTTATTTCACCTAACAGAGAAAACCGTCTTATCCACTTAAGCAGTATCAACACCTACACCCCGGATGATAATTCTGTGGATTCTCAAACCCTTCAACTTTTCCCAATAAGGAACGCTGATGAAGCCAGTGATAACATTGACCACCAAAAGGAGACAGAGGTATCAGTCTCAGCAATGAATGCCCCCAGCCAGTTTTTTGAGTTCCTTCCATTGAAGAGCTGAGCCGATTAGGAAAAGAAAACTCGACGTGTATGTAAAATTTCGGGGCTGAGTTTAGACCTTGTATCTTGTTAGAAAATAGTACTATTTTTATTGTTATCGATGTTATGTTTCAAGGAATTGGTGCTGTAATAGGACACTAGTTTGAATGAGGTATTTTGCCTTAAAATGCATTTGGACTATGTTGATTGAATCAAAAAAGTACTTAAGTCCAAGGGTTTAGTGTTTATATGGGCCTTATTTCAGTAACTTGACATGTATGTATACATGTTGCTTCTGATATGTATGAAGAAGGAAATAGGAAAGATGTTGGAGAAAGGAAGGGAGGGAGAGAGGTAAATAAAGAATGTATAAGGAATTTGATGTGAGGGTTTGATTTGGGGACATGGTATCCGAAATGGGAATAAGATGTGACAGACTAGGATGTTGAAGTAACTATGAGCATGGGTCGAAGAATTACTTTGTTCTTTTGTTGCATACTTGGAAAACAATACTGTACATTACCATCAATGTTCTGATAGAGTGAACTCAGTAGTCCAATTTATGACAATAAAGAAATCACATCAATGCCCCAAAAGGGAACAGAGCTGGTGCATTTAAGGTAACGTTCACGAATTCAATTGAAAGAAGTTTAAATCATTTTCCTACCTAATTAAATTATCCTGTTGTAGTCAGAATAGAATTTGAGTCTTACGAAGAGAATATCCACGTATCATCCTTCAGCAAGGTTGATATATATATTGAATGCAAGAAATATACATTGTTTTTTCATGTATGGAATATTTTTGTTTTATCCTCGTTCGATGAATTGATTTGTCACTAATCTCTTTTATGCCTAAGCATCTCAGCTAGTTATTTGTTAAACATGTTTAATTAATTATGTTGAATCTAACTAAGAATGATATACCAGACGAGGCTTATTTGCTTATAAAACTAACACACAACAAAGCAAAATCTATTCATTTAATTTAATTATGAAAAAAGTAAAGTACCCCTTTAATTTTTAACATAATTATACAAGAGAAATAAAGAAAAACTTCAACAAGAATACAGGTCCTGATCATTGTTTCACATCAACAATGTGTATGGCTAAACCTGTCACATTTGCCGAACTCCTTGGAGAAGGTAGCGGTATCTTTAAGATAGGGTTTATTACATTAGTGTATATGATCCACCTTTCAAAAATCTTAAGGGCTGAGACTAGGACGTGTCACTCAAGAGGCGTCAAGCATCACCAGGGTAAAAAGAAGGCCAAAATATTCCCTCTGCAGCCATTGAAGCAGTGAGGGGGGACCATAATAATTCAAACAATATATGCATGCATAAGAAGCTCATAGTTTGGACCATACATATTTGCGTATTTGATTTACAGGGACTAATCAACCACCAAAACATATGATATCTCCTACTGATAGGTAATCTCTGATTTAGGTTGCTATAACATCATCAATTTTATTGGCATCTTATGCTCATGAACTACTACATAAACTGTAGAATGATTTTGTGTTGTTTGTTGTTATGCTGAGGTTGTGAGAGTAAAAAACAAGTTTTAAAGTGGAGGAAGATTTGATGTGAGTGAAAAAGCAGGAGTGTATTTTGTTGGTATTCATTGAGCTTAACCAACTGATTTAGTTGGGAAATGATCACCTATGAATAGAGGAGTGCAGTGAGAGAGATTGGTGGAAAGTGAATTGATTAAAATAAGTTTGGAAACATACAGATGCATATACAGAAGATTGGTGATCACGGGTGGTGTAATAGTTTGTGAAAAAAAAAAAACGTGATTTTGAAACCTATTATTTGGTACTGTTAGTCCCTACAATATCTACTGAACCAAACCCTATTATTCTCTTTCATCTCTCTACACTCTCCAATTTGTTGCATTTTTCCTTTGTGGGCTTCACTCTCACCCGCAACTATATGCTTACAGTTTTGGTTGGGCCTCTTCTTCCACGAATACAAGGATAAACAAGATGTGACCCAAAGATAAACTTTTTTTCATGACCAATTTTTTATAATAATAAAAAACACCAAGAAACAAAACTAATTATTTAATTAAATTGATAAAATTAATTAATATTGAAAATAAAAAATTTAAATTATTCCCATACTTTATATATTTACCTTGTCAATGCCATCTAAATCAATATTTTCTTTCATTTTAAAAATAAAAAAATAATCTTTAGCCATTAATAAAGCATATAGTCCGTTTTGCTAAAGGTTACGATGATTCTTTGGCTAAAGTTTACAAAGTTAAGTAACCGTTGGTGAAAAGTTCTTTAAAACGGCATATCTCACCATTTTTTTAAGTGATGTTTAGTTTGAAGTTGGGTAGGATTATTTTCAATAAATATTAAGAAAATTTTGTGACATTGATCCGCCAAGAACATTGAGAATCTATATTTATGACTATTTGAAGTTACAAATAGATATATCTGAGTTTGTGGCCCAAAACAGTCCAAAAAGATGTTGTCCATAAATTTAGTAAACTCTCACGTGGCTATATATATCATGTCGTGTAACTTTTTTTTCTTTAACTTTATATACACATATAACTTATTAAAAGGTGATAAACTAATTAATTTTTCTTAACCTAACACATTTTATCCACTGATACTAAAAAAATATTTTTTCTTTATTTCTCATAGATCTTTGTAACATGCGAAGTAGACCAGACGACAATGGTTCCAAGAAATGAAACTACAATAAACAAAATTATAATGCTCAGATATGCCGGTCGGGTCTAGTTTGGTAAAACCCATTCACTAATCCAAATTAGCAGAGCCGTACATCTACCTGATTTCAAGTTTTTGCAGTGAGATGAACGTGCATGCATGAGCGCGTGTCATTCTAATAAGGCTCGGTTCTCAATGTTTTTCTGAAATTACCACTTTTGAAAATGATATTATGGGACTATCTTCTCACGCGCTTTCGTTAAACCCGAACTTCTGATACTTCTTGGGGTGCGGAAAAAAAATACAGAACAAAAGTTTGTCAGGTAACGTAATTGGTTTAAGTATACGATTTCTTATTGCAGTTTTTCTAAGGAAAAATATCTTGCTATATTAAATTTTGTTAAACAGTCGTAGAATCGGTGTTAAAGAAAATATTTAATAAAAGATTATATTAAAGATTATATTATTATCACACAATAAATAATCAACTATTTATTTATCTACTGTCATAACCATCCTCTCTATTATTATTATTATTGATAATATTTTTTTCTATTATTTTTTAGAATAACTACCTGCATTTAAATGGACATTAAAGAAATTATGCACTTAAAACTATTATACTTATTTTTGAGATAAAATACTATATTTAGGTGAAAGGAAAAAGTGGGGTGGGTTTGTTTGGGCATTCAGCAGTGCCCAGGGCAAGGTCATGTGAATTTTGCAGTATATGCGTTTCTTTTCTTTTTATGTCTTGGGCTTACAAACTTTTCCTTCCCATTCTTCTCCTCGGGTCATGAGCTTAACCAAAATCTATTTCCCAAACCCAATAATAATAGCTTGTCCTCTCTATATACTTTCTATAACAAATAAAAAAGAAACTCTGACACCAGTGAGTGAGTGAGTGAGTGAGAGGGAAGGAAGCGATTTTCACAATTTGTAAAAGTTGCTTCTCTCAACGGATCTATATATCTAAAGTGTACAGGACCCACATTTTAACCTAATTACTCCCTTCAATCCTTTTATTTAATTTTATACCAATCACTCACTCTCATCATTTACTAATCTTGCTTAAACCCACCATATGAGTCTATAAAACTTACTATCACCATAACAGAGAGTTGTAACACAAGAGTAGGCCAACGCATCCTCCATCCCCCAGTTTCAACACATTCATCACCATGACCATGACCTTGAGACCACTTCTCATTCTCACCACCATCTTTACACTCATCTCAACCCTCTCACTGCTCAAGGTTTCAGCAACCGCATCACTCGTATTCTACAACAAGTGTCCGCATCCAGTCTGGCCCGGGATCCAGCCCAGCGCCGGAAAACCCATTCTGGCCCGTGGAGGTTTCAAGCTCGCCCCCAACCGGGCCTACACCCTCCAACTTCCAGCCCTCTGGTCCGGCCGCTTCTGGGGCCGTCACGGCTGTGCCTTTGACTCCTCCGGCCGCGGGCGCTGTGCCACCGGAGACTGCGGCGGCTCTCTCTTCTGCAATGGCATAGGTGGTACCCCACCCGCCACCCTGGCAGAGTTCACCCTCGGAAATGAACAGGACTTCTACGACGTGAGCCTGGTGGATGGGTACAACCTGCCCATCTCCATCACCCCCTTCAAGGGATCCGGAAAATGCAGCTATGCCGGGTGCGTGAGTGACCTCAACAACATGTGTCCGGTGGGCTTGCAAGTGCGGTCAAGTGACAACAAGCGCGTGGTGGCCTGCAAGAGCGCTTGCTCCGCATTCAACTCTCCCAAATACTGCTGCACAGGCTCCTATGGAAGCCCACAGGCCTGCAAGCCCACCGCATATTCCAAGATCTTCAAGACCGCCTGCCCCAAGGCCTATTCCTACGCCTATGATGACCCCACCAGCATAGCCACTTGCACTAAAGCTAACTATTTGCTCACTTTCTGCCCTCATCGCCACTGAACTCAACAATTCACCTACCACACTTTAAGTAGTTACCTTTCCCCTATTTCTACCCTATGTTATTATTATCTTTTCTGTGTTATATTCCCCATTTTAGTACCATACTTTTATTAATCCTCTATGTACTGCATTCCGATATCTGGCCATTCATATTATATTCTAGTTCCGATTTAGTTCTTCGTTGTCACGGGCAAACCCCGTTTTCTATCCATGTCACAGAATGTGGTATGTTTAGCTTTGTATTTTGGTTTGAAGAAATATTATTACCTAATGTGCTCAATGTATGGTGGGTGGATGCATGGTGGCGAACCACATTCTATTATTTTATATAACCCCACATCGTCGGTGTAATTGATGTGTACTCCCTTCGTCCCTAATTGGTTTATGATTCGTCTATTTCGCAAATGTTATGCTTACTTTGTCTGTTTGGCTTTAGAGCTTGATACTGATGTACGTAGATTTTGCAAACGCTAACCTTAAAGGTGTTATCTTCACGTGGTTGAAGAAATTAAATTTATGAATGTCACTCTCGCGTTGCTAGTCATTGTTTGTTTGGACCTTGGGCTCAATCTAGCTCCAGATTCTTATTGTGTAGAGTTCCTTGCCTTGATTTTGGGATATTGAACTTGTGGAGTTGTTTATTTGTGTGAATATGAATCCCTTTAAAATTTTGAAATCAAGGTTTGGACAATTGGACAACCGAGGTTGGGTTTTGATTGATGATAGCTAGATAGATGGTGAAATGGTGATGGGTAACTGCACATGGGGTTGAGTACACTTCCCCTCATATTTTAGCTTCAAAAATTATGGACAGTGAAATTTATCAATGTATTCTGAATAAACAGTATTTGAGCTCAAGTTACTGGAAAATACATTATTGATCAATAATAGCCAATGGTGTGTACTTATGTTTCTCAACACTCAGACCATTTATCTTAGCCTTTTGTGGTATTCATTTTATGTTACCTTGAGAATATTCATCACTCTTAAATAAGATCTTAAATTAGAGAGAACATTGATATTACTGAAGAAGAAAAAAAACAATGGAAGAGTAGATATCAAAGCTCATAACAAGAGTTGCGGACCATGTCATGTGCATGATTGATTGGTGTAAAATAATACTTTTCTGAATTTCAATAAAAAAATTGTGTGCTTCATGGTATATGAATTGAGAAAGAAGGATTTTGTTGCTTCTAGAGTAAAAGTACTCGAGTTCTATTCATTTTTAACCCAAACATGTGCTTAACCTTCACTCAAAAGTATTTTTAGTCTACCAAAGTAACAATTCTTTTCTCTTATATTTTGTTGTGTGAAATTTGGAAATGTTTATTCCAATTTCCAAAATCACTTTCTGTTTTTTATTTTTTACAGGCATGGCCTACAAGTTAAAAACCTATCACATGTTTTGAATACACTTTGTTCTTCTCTTTGAAGAGAATTTTATTGGCATCAAGGAAATTGAACCTGCATTTATGGAGAGGATAAATAAATTGTATATCCATGGTCAGTTTATATTAACTCACATTAGTTATCCTCCTCTTAATTCTATATCATTGATGACTATATTAACTCACATTCACTACTTTCTTAATCATCTAACACTTTTATGGTTTAAGTAAAAAAAAAAAGATCTATAATTTAAAATAAATCATGATTTTTAAGTCTAATTTTATATTAAATTAATAGACTAATAAGTAAATTTTAATCTGATTAAAAATTTAAAAAAATTATTAATATATCTAAACTAAAATAATTAATTAAAAAAATAAATTTTTTAATTATATTGTATAAAACAAGATAACTCTTAAATTTATAGAGTAATTTGATCTAAATGTCATAAAACAAATATCGGTATAATAAATCTAAATAACAAATTTTTTTTTACCATGCTTATTTCTTATGCATCATTAATGTCATAAATTTTTTTTAACCATGCTTATATCTAAGTAGTCATTATTTTTTTTTTATTAATAAGATGCAGTTGGGTCTGTGTCCGCATTCATTTAAAATAATGTCATGCACATGATGTTTAATACGGGCCATTATAATGTGCAATCACAATTCCCCATAAGCAGCAAAGCTTGTCCTTTGGTGCAGCGTGCATTGGAAAGAATGTTTCATAAGTTATGATCCCAGAAGTAACATGTGCGAACGAAGAACATGAATCTACGTAATCCCTCCATCTAAAGAGCAACTTATTCCTCTACACCTTCTTTTTCATTTATTACATTTTATTCATACTATAAAGTTATGAATGAGATTCCTTCCTTTTGGTAGTAATAAAGTTTCAACCACAATTTCTTCTTGACATATTTGACATTTATTTACAATGGTAAAGAACATTTCAAATACAATGATAAACAATAAAGTGTAATTAACAAAGCAATAGCAAACTATGGAACTGAATACTGTTTTAGGCTTACCCTTCGTATTTGATAAATTATGGTTCCTGTATTTTCGTCTAAAGTCCCTATTTTTCATTTTTCTTATTTATACCCCTAGCAAATGACACATGTTTGTAGTTTGGTTTAGGGATGACAACAGTCCGTAATATTTCCATTCGTTCTGTTCTTCTTTATTTATAAAATATATATATATATATATATATATATATATATATATATATATATATATATATATTTTATATTGTTGAGAATTCAAGTGTGAGTTGAAGTCCCACATTGAGTAGAAATGAGAAAGTTGAGTAACTTATAAGTGAGAAAGACTATAACCTAATGCCTTAAGGTTTTAGGTTAAAGGTGATGTTATATTCTCTTATATGGTTGACTCGTGTTTCATTTGTGATAATCTCCCTTTTGTTAGCCCTCCTTTACAGATCCAAGAGTGGTATCAAAGCTCTTGGTTTTTTGGACTATATTTACTTGCTTGAATGATGGAGGCAAATACAAAAATGGTTGCTTTAAATAATATAAATTATCATTTGTGGAAAGACAAGATGAAAGATTTGTTGTTTATGAAGAAATTACATCTTCTTATCTTTGCTACACAAAATTCGGATTCTGATGAAGAATGGGACTTTGAGGACAAACAGGTGTACAACTTTATTTAGCAATATGTAAAAGACAATGCTTATAATCATATTGCTAATGAGACACATGCTAGAATGGAGAAGATTAAGTCTTTGTATGCTTCTAAGTCATGTAATAATAAATTGTATTTGTTGAATTGTTTGATGAATTTGAGGTATAGGAAAAAATTTCCCATTTCAGATCATTTAAATGAGTTTTAAGGGCTCATAGATCAACTGTCAGGAATAAGTATAAATTTTGATGATGAAGTTTTGAGACTATGACTACTGAATTCTCTACCAAAGTCTTGAGAGATATTTCAAGTTTCAATTACAAACTCAGTCCCTCACAACATTGTTTCTTTCCAAATGCTAAAGAGTGGTGCTCTTAATGAAGAGATGAGAAGGAAGACGCATGGTTCTTCATCTCAGTTTGAGGTACTTATCACTGAAAATAGGGGGAGATGTCAGAGAAAGGAACCGAAGGGTGGTAGAGACAACAGTAGGAATAAGTCCAAAACAAGATACAAGAATATGAAGTGTCATTATTGTAATAAATCTGGACACATCCAAAGATACTGTATTGAGTGAAAAAAAGAAGAAGATAATAAAGGTAAGAAGGGTAAGGAAAAAGAGAATAATCATAATGATAATCATGTTACTACTATTATATGTGGTGAACATGTTCTTCTTCATGACTATGAGTTTATTAATTTTGTGTCTGATAAGAGCATGTGTATAATTGACAATGGTGCTACACTGTACGTTACACCAAGGAAGGAGTTGTTCATATCCACTCCTGGTCATTTTAAAGTGTTGAATATGGATAATGATGGTGTATCAAAGGTTGTTGGTGTTGGTGATGTTTGCTTGCAAACCAACATAGGAGTGTGGTTATTACTTAGAGGAGTCAAACATGCTCCATATGTGCGTTTTAATATGATATTTGTGCATTTGATTGATGATTGTGGTTATGACAATCACTTTGGTTTTGGTAAATGGAAGCTCACTAAAAGTAACTTGGTCATGGTTAGAGGGAAGACAAATTCTAAATTATGTTGGACTAGAGTTTTGGTTGCTAAGGACAGTGTAAATGTTATGTATATGGAGGCATCTTTGTGGTACCGAAGGCTTGATCATATAAGTGAAAAAAGGGTTTAATTGCTTAGTTAAAAATGATATGCTTTTGTGATTGAAAAGTGCAGAGTTGGAGAAATGTTCTCATTGTATGGCTGGTAAACAAACCAGAGTATATCCTTTAAGAAGCATCCTCCCTCGAGAAAGTCATAGTTGTTTGAACTGGTGCATTCTGATGTTTGTGGCCCATTGAAGGTAAAGTCATTTAGTGGTGCACTTTACTTTGTTACTTTTATTGATGGTTGTTCTAGGAAGCTATGGGTCTATGCACTACAAAGAAAAGATCAAGCACTTGAAAAGTTTAAAAAATTTCATGTTTTGGTTGAGAGACAATAAGATAAGAAGTTGAAATGCAGTCGTACTGATAATGATGGTGAGTATTGTGGATCCTTTGATGTTTATTACAAGCAGCAAGATATCATACATGAAAAGACTCCTCCTAAAACTCCTCAGTTGAGTTGTCAAACAGAGAGGATGAATAGGACTTTGGTTGAAAGAGTTAGAAGTATGCTTTCTGAAGCAAAGTTTCCTAAGCATTTTTTGGGAGAGACATTGTTTGCAGTCATGCATGTTATTAATCCTAGTCCTACAGTTGCTTTGAATACTAAGTTACCAGACAAAATCTGGTTTAGCAAGAATATTAACTATGATTATTTATGTGTCTTTAGTTGTAGGACATTTGTTTATGTTCCAAAGGATGAAAAATCAAAGTCAGATGCAAAGACAAGACAATATATCTTTATTGGTTATGGTCAAGATGAGTTTAGCTACAAATTATATGATTCTGTTGAAAAAAAGCTAGTTAAAAGTCATGATGTGTAATTCATGGAAGACCAAACCAATGAAAATGTTAACAAAGTGGAGAAGACTACACCTGAGAAAAATAGTAATTTCATTTATGGTAATCCGATGTGGTTGCCTATTCATAGTTTGGATAATGTTTACCCTAATGCTCAAAAGGATGAACATGGTGATGTTGATGATCAACAAGTTAGAGAAAGTGTAAAGGTTCTGATTGATGATCCTCAAAAGGAACATGATGATATACCTGAATTAGCATAAGTCCCTACTAGTAGGTCCAATAGGTTGAGAAAATCGTTTTTCAAGTATTCTTTTGATGAGTATGTAAGTTTGATTAATGGTGAAGAACCTGAGTGTTTTGAAGAAGTTTTAAAAAGTAAAGAAACACTACAAGAAAATTACCAATTATCTGCTGATATTTACCTACGGATCCATATCTGTAGATAAATTTTAAATTACCTACGAATTTTATCTACAAATTTTTATTCGTATATAAAATTGTATATTACAGTAGTCTGTAAGTATTATCCGTATGTAATGTTGGCGCGTTTAGGCAGTAACGTTTGAAGGATGAAATTCGTAAATAATGACAATAAAATCCGTATGTAATAAAGTCATACTTTACGTACGGATTTTATTAAAAAATATTAAAAAATAAACTTAGTAAGTAATTAGTGGGAGTACCCTTCTCGTTCGTCATTCTCATTTCTGCAAATATTATTGAAAAAATAATTTCACTTGCTACTTAAAAAAAAATAAAAATTCTACCACGACCTCCACTTTCCAACCCTAGCTCCCTTTGCCTTACTCTTTTTCCTTGTAGCTTCTTCCCCGCGGAACAACCCCACTCTTCCTGCACCTTCACTTCCCCTTTTCCCTCATTCCCTCTTCCCTCTGCCTCACTCTTTTCTCGACTCCTCTCAACAACTAAGCCATCTGCACCCTTCTTTCCTGAGCACCCCTCATTGAGCTCCATTTTCAATATTCCTCAACCCTTCACTTGAACTCCACAGCCCTAGCTCGCGCTGACACCTTCTCCCTCACCTCCTTTGCGGCCTCTGCATCCCAACGAAACCCACATCGTGTGTCCACCGTTATCACCCCAACCCAACCGCGGAGCCCTGCCCGTGACTCGCACCCCCCTAGCCACTGCAGGTCAACCTAGAGGTTGGTGGTTAGAAGCATGGGTCGCAGACCTAAGTTTCCCTTTCTCTTTTTGATTTTTTGTTTACAGTTCTTGATTTGAGTTTGGTTGTTATAATTGTTCTATTTGAGTTTGGTGATTTTGATGGTTTTCGAATCGCATCTTGTATGAAATGTTTCATTTGGTTTGTTTGATTTATGATCGATTCTTGGATTTAAACTGAGTTTTTATTGGATCTGTGGATTATCGGGTTTGGGGCTGAATTGAGTTGTCTTTTCGGTTCTCCACTTATTATTTAAGCCCCTCCTGATGCACAAAGAGTTGAACGATATACTTAACTTGTGTCAATGACTAACAATACTTCTATTTACAGGACCTAGTTCTGCAACAATTATTTTTAATCATTAGAGAAATATCATTAGGAGGGAAGTTAGTTGTGTTTTGCTTATAATGATATTTTCCTTATTGGATGGAGTCAACGCTCACTTAGTTGCTTTCCTTCATTGGTTGAGGTAGATGAAGTAAAAATTTTGTCATTGTTATGAAATACATTATTGGAAGAGGCTAATGTGAAACCGAAAAACAATGCAATGATGTCCAATGAAAATGGAATTTAGTTAGCGCTTTGCCTTTTGGTATTGGGTTGCTCCCATACTGAGATAAATCAGGTATTATGTGGAAGCATTGAGAGAATCCATCACAAGTTGCAACTGGTTTGAGAATCGGAATATTCAATCTAAGTTACCCTGTGGTCCATATCTGTGATTTCTTGAATTTATACACATTCGGGACCCAAGATAAGATATTTTTGTTCATATATTATACTTCTAATGTTACACTATATCTTATTGATTCATTGTTATCCTACTATTAAACTACGTGGTCTTTATTATGAGCTTATGGTGTTAGACAAGTTGCTGGCAGTTGCCACAATTACTATTGTGGAATATTTGGAGACACGTTGCAATTGATGTGTGAAAGTGTTGTAGACTTTTCTCTTGAGAGTTAAAATTATAATTATTGGTTATCATGTTACTCTACCAAGTTTTACTTTAAGCTACAAATGTAGTACAAATAGTGACACTGCTATGATGACAATTAAGTATATCCCAACTATGTTTATCCTGTTTAGATTTTGGACATCAATAAGAAATCGTTCACACCTGTGTCATTTCCCATCTGTTTAATTGAATTCTATTTCTCAGGGTAGTCCGATATTTGGCAGGGAAAAATATTATTTCACAGAAAAATGTTATACTGTGATTAATACAAGAACGATCAACCTTTTCTTACTGATTCTGACACTGTCATGCATTATTGCTTGTGTGGCTGGATGCTTTCTGACATTGGATTAATGACAATTTTAAATGTTGTTTTTCATATGTTGCTGTAGTTGATTATGGCTCAGCTGGTTGGGATATTCAGTTTTATTTCTTAAATATGATTATTTGGATGTTATAGGCAAATAAAACTTTGCTTCATCCCTGCTTTTACCTTCTTTGCAATATGCTTTTAATTGGTATATTAAGAAACTAGCTACAATGCCCGCTCAATTGGATATTTGGATGTTATTGTGCATTTAATTATGTTTAAACTAACACTGTCAAAACAAATATTTTAGATAAGTTTGACTTATACTATGAAACAAGTAAAAATAAAATAAAATTTACATTTAACTTATGTTCTAAAAAGAATCATAAGTATAATTTGATCTTAAGGGTTATTTTTAGTCTGATTGAAAATGTATTGGAAATAATATCTGGAACAACCTCTTAGAATAGTAGAATATGTCTCTATATCGATCAAAATGTGATACAACAAAGAAAAATCGGGCATTCGATAAAGGGGAAGTTTGCACACCAGCGAATCAATTAGTGTGCACAAACACGCCATTCGTTTGACACGAATTTTTCAATATTTTTTACCATTCATTTATGATGTAACAATTATTTGGTAAAGATATATTTTATGCTTTTTTTATTCAGAGAGAGGAGCTCGGTCGCTCAGTCCATGTAGATGAAGTTTTTCAACAGACGCATATAAGAAAGAATACTGGCGAATTTGTCGATGATAGGTCTAGGCAGACACATGTGAGTTTCTTTCATTAAATCTTAAAGTTTTTTATTATTTAAAAGACACATGTACAAATTGTCTTGTTTGAACATGAAGACTTTGAGAGTAGACATTCTCGAGTATTGTCTGAGTCAACTTCTAACGTGGGTGCTTCACAATGCACTCCCCTAGAGCCTGTTGAAGAGGAAAGGCTAAGGAATAGATGTTGGTTGGAGGTTGCATGAGGAAGGTATAAGGGACGCGTATATGGAGTTGGTCATGTTTACTTTAGTGATGATTGTGTTGAAAGTTATCTACAACAGACAGAAGCATGCTCCAGTCAGAAAGCTGATTCACAGAAAATTAATCAACTAACATAGTGGCTGGAAAGTAGTGAGCAACGATTGGAAAGTAGTGAGGAAAAGATTCGTATGATGAGCTCCCAGTTCGAGTCCATCCAGACATTCATTAGCACAGTCCTTCAATACTTACCACCTACAGCAGCAGCGACAACACAAAACATTTTGCAACAACCAATTAATCAAGACAATGGAGATCAAGAAAGTTGCAGAACCAAATACCAAATAACAAAATCAAGATCAACAGAAGGATGCAGATGATGATTACATGGATTGTTAGCATTTTAGGAAATTGTATTGGATATGTTTCATTATATTTGGATATATTTGACATTTTTATTTTGTATTGGAACAATAAATTGTTTTGTTATATCATTTTATTTTTTCTGGTTATGAACTTGTGTATCTAGATAATTTTATATATTATTTAATGTCCAGGTCAATGCAATCAGAATAATGCGAAAAAAAATGGAGAGTAATAGATACTTTAATTACCTACGGATATATCCTCGTAGGTAATAATTACCTATGAATTTTCAATATTCGTAGGTAATTACCTGCGGATATTGAAAATCCATAGGTAATTATTACTTACGAATCTTTGTCCGTAGGTAATCTAAATTTATCTACGAATTTTCTTGCTTACCTATAGATTTGTGATGTAGGTAATTACAATTTTTCTTGTAGTGAAAAACAAAAGTGGTTGGATGCAATGTAAGGTGGGATGAAATATTTGCATGATAATCATACTTATGACTTGGTAAAATTGTCTAAGGGAAAAAGGGCTTTAGAGAATAGGTGGATTTTCAAGGTGAAGCAAGAGACTAATTCTACATCTCCAAGGTACAAATCTAGATTAGTGATGAAAGACTTTAGACAGAAAAATGATGCTAATTTCAATGAGATTTTCTCACCTATGGTGAAAATGTCATCCATCAGATTTGTGTTTAAGTTTAACTGCTACCCCTGATTTGGAGGTTGAGCAGATGGATGAGAAGACAATTTTCCTTCATGGTAATTTGGGGGAAGAGATTTACATGAAACAACGTGATGATTTTCTTGTTGAAGGCAAGGAAGATTATGTGTGTAGACTAAGAAAAGTTCTATACGGTTTGAAGTAAGTTCCAAGAGAATGGTACAAGAAGTTTGAGTCTTTTATGTGTGATCAAGATTATAAAAGGACTACTTATGATCATTATGTCTTTGTTATAAAGTTCTATGATGATGATGACTTTATTATCTTGTTATTATATGTTGATGACATACTTATTGTTGGGAAGCACATGTCATTTGCCATGAAAGACATGAGAACGGCTAAAAAGATTCTTGACATAAGTATCTCATGTGATAGAAGTGAAAATAAATTTTTTTATCACAGTAGTACTACATTAAGGTGTTGCGGAGATTCTAGGTGAAAAATGCTAAAGTAGTGAATACTCCTTTTGTAACTCATTTTAAATTAAGGGTTAAGTAGAATCCTTCAAATGAAGTTAAAAAATCATATATGAATAGAGTTCATTATGCATTTGCATTGAGCAGTTTAATGTATGCAATGATATGTACTATACTAGATATTTCACATGTTGTTGGTATAGTCAATTGTCTCTTGTCCAATCCAGGTAGAGAGCATTGGAATGTTGTGAAATTGATTTTGAGGTGTCTTCATGGTACTAGTGATTGAAACTTTATTTCAGAGGTAATAAATTCATTTTGATGAGTTACTTAGACTTAAATATGGCTGGAGACATTGATTCTAGAAAGTCCACTTCGGGCTATTTGATTAAGTTTACACGGGGAGTTATGACTTGACAATCTAAGATTACAAAAGTGTGTAGCATTATCTATTACAAAGGTAGAGTTCATTGCCATTAAAGAAGCATGCAAGGAGTTGATATGGTTGAAAAAAATTCTTCCTGGAGTTTGGTTTTGTGAAAAACAATTATCCATTATTTGTAGATAGTTAGAGTGTTATTCATCTTGGTAAGAATCCAACATTTCATTATAGATCCAAATATATTGATATGAGGTATCATTGGATACATGATGATTTGGATGTTAAGTTGTTGAAGTTAGATAAAGTGCATACAGATGATAATAGTGTTGATATGATGATCAAGACATTGTCAAGGCAAAAGTTTGAAACTTGTTATGAGATGGTCAAATTGGTGATCACCTCCATAGTTGTGAGGGAGATGTGTAGGGTTGAACTCTTAATTATGTGTCTAAAAATCTCCAATTAGTCATGTCTATTTTATCTCACTTAACCTAAGTGGAAAAGAGTCTTCTAAATAAATTTTGCAGCCCTTTGGAAGATAAAAAGAAAAGAAAACAATTTCGTTTTTTTACCAAACTGCTTCAGTAAAATTACAATTTACGCTTTGTTCACCATTGATCGGGTTGAAATTTTGACAGTAGATTAACAACCTAAGTTTCTTCATTTTAACTATTGGGATGTCAATTAAAGGTTTGTGGTTGGAAATATCATTTTTACACTGGGATTGGATTTTAGGTTTTTTTTTTTCTTTGTTATTCAAATTTGACAACACTATTACTTTGATTTATTGACTGCTTATAGACACGTATGTGTACATTTTGATTTGACTTTCTTATACTCATTATCGCTTGATTGATTAGCTTGTGCTTGTAAGTTTTTAATTCTCATATTTTGGATTATTATTTCACACATCTTTACAAATTTAAGAAAATTATTTTTGTTATATATTTTAGTATTTGTTGTTGTGTTGTTTTTCCTATTGTTATCACAATGGAAAAAACGTTGATGTTTTAGCTTGAAACGAGCAGATGTTTTTTGTCCTTTCTCAAGTCAGTAGGCAGCACACCAACGAAGATAGGGACGGTGATTACTACAGAAATTCATGTAGTGATTGGTGATTGCGAATACGGTTAAAAAAATGATTGTTTTATGGCACAGGGAAGCAGTCAATATCTAAGAGGTGATGTCTCACACTCACAAATGCTATACAATGCAAGGTTTTCTAGCGATGACAAGAGGATCCCTCAAGATCCACTGTTTGAGTATTTAAATCCAGTTCCTCCTCATAGTCATGAACCATAGTCTGAAAAGGCACCTCATAATCCTTGGTTAAAGTGTGGCTTAATCAGGTAACTAAAAAGTGGTGGTTCATTTTGAGTTACTTCTAATCTAATGATTTAATACTGAATTTTCGTCAGTTAATAACATTTTAATCTCATGTTCTACGTATCTTATGCGTCGAATACCAAGAGGTCCATTAAGAGAACTAGATGGATGATTTTTAGTATACCACACTCCATACAAACACCCTCCACAGGAAATTATTGAAATGCAAAGGTTATTTTTTATCTTTAGAGGCATGTACAATTTGCGTATACAGGCTCTCTTACGAGTCCATGTTGCTAAATCAGACGTACATGCGCAGTTTGGGATTATTTCCTTTTGAATAAAGCCCTAAAATTTGAACTCCAAAGGTACAAGTGTCATTCTTTGGTAATCCAAATTATCGTAATTCTTTAGTCCTAGACAATTCCATATTTCAATGAGAAAGTTCTCCATTATGTGAATCGTTGTGGGATCTAGGAAGGATCAGTATGAAGCCTTATCCTCTAAGCGGAGAGCTTGTTTCCGTAACTGGAGCCCATGATAAGGCTCGAATATAAAAATAAAGACAATAATCATGACAGAAACTAAAATCTGGGAGCAATAAAAATTTACAAGAGGTGACTGTTCAAAAATTCATACACCAGACCTGAAAGCTTCACGTTGTAACCTGATTATATTCACACAACCTCATGGACTTCGCATGCAACCTCTCCATGAAAGCTGGACTGGCACGAAGCCTTTCTTTTACATATGAAGATTGGCCATCATCTACTAATTTATTAGTTTTTCCTACCTCCTCAATGAGAGAAAGAAGTGTCCTTAAGCAGTCTTTTCTGTTTTCTTCTCGATGTTCATATCTTAAAAATATGGAAAAGAAAACTTAAGCACGGATGTGGTTGATTCCAAGGAACTAAGGCCATACCCAAGTCTGCAAGATCAAATAATAAATGAATGATTTTTTATATAAAGATAGAACTTTACCTCTCACTAGTTATTGTATGCTCATCTCTCCCCGGATGATAACGTTTTCCAACCAATTCTCTGAGGCGGCGAAATTGGTATTTTGAAAGCCCGAACTCCTTTACAGTAACAGACAGTTTCACTTTCCTGGTTTTTGGATGTCGAGCATCACCACCAAGAGCAAAGACTACACGAGTTTGCCACAGCAAAATTGGACCTTCACCTGGTGGATAATCCAAATCCTTTTTCTTATCTGCACAACAGTATCATCAATCTGTGGGACGTCATCTTTTTTCCATTATCTTCATGTATTCTGCTACCATCTCATCCTAACTTCTTAAATTGTTCATAAGCTTCTTCAGGTTCAAGTTCTCCTCTTTCACACATATCCCCTAGCTCATTACATTTTGTTTCCACCTTCTGTTTTATATCATCTATTATAAGACACTAAATCAAAGAAAATTATGAACACGTTAAAATTCAAACATCCACATAGAAGAATCATCTAAAATGAAAACAGAAATTCATGATCATCTCATCACAATTCTGCTGGAACTTGCAACTGTGATAAAAGGACTTGATCCTCCAACTATGATTCAGATAATATTTAAAAACAATTGGTTAAACATTTTTGTCCAATTTTTAAGTCCAAATAAGAGTTCACATTAATAGATTATGTCAATCTTTTAAGTCAACTTCTATTATATGGATTACTAATCCACTTATGGCAGGAAAACACCAAGATGATCACCCAAGAAACCATATTTAGGTTTCTTTTCAATTTTAGTTATTTCATCATTTTAGTTATACCGAGCTTAGTGTTTCAAAAACTATGAGGAAATCGAGCCTCCAAGAAAATCAAAATAAGGAAATGCGGAAGAAGAAGGGAATAGTTACAGGTTTATTTTTCTTCCAAGTCTGAAGTGCATTTCATTTGCTTTTGTTTTCTTAGGTAGCATTCAGTAATTTTGTATTTTAGTATTTTACTGTAATCCCATTCATAGTGTGGGTGTAAATTCATGAAAGTTATAAATAGTAAGTAGTTATAATGCAGTCATATTATAAACTGCATTTGTCAATTTTAAAAAAGACAGTATTTTTTCGGACATTTTATTTGTTCAGACATTTTTAATTAATAAGAAAGTTCTATTGACTAATTAATTCAATTATGGTAATATTGCTATTTGAGTGAATGTAAAATTAATGAATATTCTAGATTTTGATAGTTAATTTTGTTGGGATAAAATTAAAAATAGGATAATCCATTTTATAAAGTTTGGATAATTTTAGAACGTTTGTAAAACTGTTGTTACCAGAATGTTTTAGATTCCAAACAGTTAATGATTTGGTTTCCAGTGTTATTGGGAGTATTTAAATATATAATGTAATCCTTGTGACAGAATTAATACAAATAAGATTTTATAATTTTTTTATTATCAAATTGGTAATTGTGTTTGGAAGAACTTAATTATTTTTTAATATTAATAAAAGAGTGAGAATGATTAATTTAACAAATGTTAAATAAGAATGATTATGTTAAATGAAATTAAATAAATGATTACGAAGACGAAGACTTTAATCACAATTTAAGATTGTTAGAATATAATAAAGGATGACTATAAAAAATTAGAGATCACGGAAGGGTTATCGTCTAATGCCCAATTAAAGAAGAACGTTTAATAATAGTGTAGCTCTGATTTTGAAAAAATTATTAAAATTACGTTGATATTCGAGGTGTGAAACAAATTGGAGAAGAAATATTACCTTCATCATTTAAATTTTATATATATAAATTCCAAATTATAAGTATAGATAGCTTTATTAACAAATATACCATATGAATAATATAAATGCAAACATATATTTATAAAATTATCACACCAACTTGTTATATTTTTATTTACTATATATATTCGATTATATTATCACCTTTGTTTACTTTGCTTTTCCAATTAATTTTATTTTAAGGTGTAATATATTAGGAATATGATATTATATTTGAAATTGAATTTAAATTAAAATAACATTGCAGTTTAAGTTATAAAATATTATTTTGGATAAATTTAAAATTAATATTATATTATTTTAAGGTATGGCAAACTATAGTGTGTTTAAATTATTGTTTATATTGAGATTTAGTTGAGAACTCAAGATATAATATATAAATTGGTTTAATCTCACTCGTTATTTTGCATGGTTTTAAATAGCCAATACTCACAAATTTCCGATTTTGTTTTTATAAGAGTAGTATAATAATATTACTCTAATTAACTAATAATAATAGATATTTTATATATTGGTTTAAAAAATTAAAATTATATTTTATAACACGATTTTAACATTGAAAAATAAATCATATCTAAAAATAAGATTTCCTTTTTTAAAATTATTTTTTAAGTGTAACTTTTTTTCAAACTATCTTTCTAAGCGCGACTTATTTATTTACTAAAAATTATTTAAATAAATAATTTAAAAAATGCATTGATGATGCATAATGCATTTGACAAAGAAATTAACCAAGTTTAGTTTCTTATTAATGTATTTTATCCTAACTTTTTTTCTATTTGTAAATAACTTATGCATTTCTATCCTTTAGTAATTCTATTGAAAGTCTTTTATAACAATTAAGTAAATAATAATTAATATTATGTATGAATGACATGTTTCTACATTTAAATTACATAAATAGACCTAAATTAATTAATGTGAAACAAAATCATAAAAATAAGGTTGAATTCTAGAAATGCATCGGATTGTGTAATTAGGAATGTGTTTTCGAATTAACTTTTCGAAAAAACATTCTAGAACATTCAATTCAAAATACATTTTCGGATTGACTTTTTTAAAAATGTATTTCATATTGAGTATTCTAAAATGTGTTTTCATTTTGAATTAGATGTTCTGGAATGTATTTCGAAAAAGGTCAATGCAAAATACATTTAAAAAATAAAAATGAAGATAAAGATAAGAAAAAAATGATATTTAATTTAATTTAATTATGTGGGTGCAAGAAAAAACTTAGGAGTATAAGAAAGTTCAACTTTTTAATCCAATGCTAGAAATGCTCGATTTATTTACTATCTACACCATACAAAAATGCTATCTTTTCCTAGAGTTAAATTTCAAAACTATTAATTTATATATATCAATTATGATATTATTGTTAAAATTAAATATTATATATTCAAGATGTTATTTCTTCTAAAATTTTCATTTATTATATTTTTATTTTTAAAAGATACTTTTATATGATCAGGAGATAAAAATTATAAAAATTATATTTATTATGGACTTCTTAAGAATGTGAGAGTGTAACTGTATCAAATATCATAAATTTAAATTTTTAATTAATAAAAATTATATATTAACAATTAACTTATATATAAACTTGTTGAAAAGTATTTCCTATGTACATTTTATAGGGTTTTCATTGCATTGACACGTTACTGTGGAAGAGTGACCCAATAAAAATGATGTAATCGTCGTGATTTCCACTCTCCTATTAATTGCAGCAAAACTGAAACAGGCACGCAGAATATCTTGTCTTCTAGAACAGTGTCATGTAATAAGTTAAAATTTGACCAAATGTTCTTCTAAATTCCTCTAATAAATTTCTATGTCGTGTTTAATACTATTAAGTTAAAGTATATAACCTAGATTGATATTTAATTTTAATTATATTATATATAAATAATTTTACCTAATTTTATCACATTTAATTATATTATTCTTAAAACATCCTTCATTAATAGTCATTTTATTTTTAATTATATATTTGTATTGATGATATTAAGTATGATAAAAATATTTCAAAAAATAATTTCGATTATAATTGATGAAATTAAATTATGTTAACTATATAGTATAGTTATAGATAAATTTTTTTATTATATTCGAGTAGAAAGATATTTGTGTCAAATACTTTTCTGCATTTGTTTTCAAGAAACATGAAAAAGAAAAAGTAGTTTTTCATATATCCTTTTCACGTATTAAAGTTGAATGCGCGTTGAAGCCGTGTTCGTTCGCATGCTCCGTGTCCCACTTGAATAATTTATTTATTTATTTACTTCCAGATTCAGCCACAAAATAAATATAATAATAATAGGAAGAAGAATTATAGTAATAAAAAAAAAAGTAATTGTTATCATCACAAAAATTGTTAGACACGTCACACGTCTTTATAGATTACCACGAACCACAGGCATCCTCGTCACACGTCTTTACAATAATATTTATAAATAAAAATATTATTTTAATATAAATTCTATAATACTTTTTCACTTATTTCTCTATTTTATTTTATCTTTTTCATACATTTAAATAATATCACTTATTATTGTTATATTTTTTATAATTCTTTGTTTATTCCACCCATGCAAGCAAAACATTAGATTTAGTCCACGATCAACAACTGTTCTTTCTAAAAAAGAAAATATATAAAGTAATTTATAAAATATTATTATTATTATTATTATTATTGATTTGATAGTTGATGAAGTTTTTTTTAATTTATTAAAATATTTTTTAAAGATAAAATGATATAGTCAAAAATTTTAAATAAAAAATATCTTAGATATAAAAATTTATCATATTAATAAGAAACCAAAATCCTCTCATTCCTTAAACAAAATATTATTCATAATAAAATTTTATTATACTCATATTCTTAATCATCTACTCACGAATTGTATTTTTAATTTGTGAAAATAAAATTAACCTTTATTCTCTTTGAATTTTGTTTCTCTCAATTGTTTTTATTTTCACAAATTAAAAAAAAAGTTATTCTATTTTTCAAAAAATTATATGATTTTACCATAAAATAACCGGCCCCACTTATAAAGGTAAGATAATGTCACACATGGTACATCCAAATAAAAAGGATGAAAAACGACAACTTCTGCTAAATCACACACAAAAAGTATATTAACTATGAGAAAGTAATAGTTGGTGTTCGACAATGATCTTAGTTAAAAGACGCTAATAATTAAAGCTACCAAAAGTGTTACAATAACTTGTTTAAATTATTTTATAGCAGTATATTTTTTATAAAAGTAAAAATGTTGTTTAACTTTTAAAGCTGTTCACAGACATCTAAGAACACTAATTAACATTTGATTAATAAAATTGTATATGTAAGCGTAATTATTGTCTCTTATATTCATTATCCGTTTGATTCTACTCTATTCAAATAATTTATCTTATAAATCTAAATGTTTAAAATCAAAACAATAAAAAACTTTAAAATATATTTGAAAAAAATAAACCAAATAACTTCTGAAAACTGTGTTACCATTGCCAAAACAAATCCCTGAACGTAATCTTAAAGTAATAAAATTTGTAATAAAATATCATCTTAAATCATGTTTGACTTTCTTTTTTAATTTTAAAAGTTAATTTTTAAATAAAGCTAAAGATTTTTTATTATTATTTTTTTATTTTTTTACAGTTTACCTTGGTTTTAGATTTTAAAGAAGCAAAAATAAGAGAAAATCCCGAAATCAATGTATCAACATTATATGTTATAATTTAAAAAAAAATCTTAGTATTATTGGATACAAATAATTTTTTTTTTAAATGTGTATACTGTAAAAATAAAAGACATCAACATTTTATAAACATACTAGTGGGAATTTTAAAAATATAAACATTTTAATTGAGGAGAAATTATGGTAACAAACTGTAACATTAAATTATTAATTTTACATAGTGTAAAATTCAAGATTTCAGATGTAAGAGGATATGAATTGAGTTTTGATAATTAAAACTAAATTTTTAAAATTTTCGCATCGTGAATAAAAGCGAGAGGTATTTATTATAAATATTTTAATTGTTATAACATACTATCGACGGTTTGTTGTAACAATTAAAATATTTATAATAAAATAACTCTCGCTTTTATTCACGATATAAAAAAAAAGTTTTAATTATCAAAACTCAACCCATATCCTCTCTAAAATCAATTAAGAATAATTTAAAAAAAATAAAATTATATACAAATTTAATATCTCTAATTAGAATCACTTAACTTTCTTAACATATATAAATGGGTTATTATTGTTTTATACTCAGGAAAGAAGTCATATTAAAAATAATCATACTAATAAATTTTGGACATTTCAACATTTTATTAACGTTTTAATTAAATAATTTAATGTATGACATGTGTCCTCGTATTCTTTCATGGATCAACTCGTATATGTTATTATTATCTTTCAAACATACTTTCATGTTATTATTATCTTTCATTCCTAAACACTAAAAAAGGTTTTATAAAAATACTGAAAATACTTAATATTTTAATTTATAAAATCAACGATTTTTCCGTCAAAGACAAAGGTGGGCCCAGTATGCACGGAACACGGAATGGGTGTATAAAAAGGGCCAAATGTCGCCGCTTCATTCACTTCTCCAATTTAAATCACCTCTCTCCTTCACCGATAAAACCGAATCCTTCAATTTTATTTATTTATCGGAAACGCTAACAATGGAGACGAATCCAAATGCAACGGGAAACGACGATGCCGCACCAAACACTAACGCGAGCTCCAAGTCCTCCGTGTACCTCCAAGACATGGAGGAGATGAAGCGAGTCTTCAACCGCTTCGACGCCAACGGCGACGGCAAGATCTCCGTCAGCGAGCTAGACAATGTCCTCCGCACTCTCGGATCCGGCGTCCCACCGGACGATCTTCAGCGAGTGATGGACGACCTCGACACCGATCACGACGGCTTCATTAACCTCTCGGAGTTCGCCGCGTTCTGCCGCTCCGACACCGGGGACGACGGCGACACGGAGCTCCACGACGCCTTCAACCTGTACGACCAGGACAAGAACGGTCTCATCTCCGCCACCGAGCTCTTCCAGGTGCTGAACCGCCTCGGAATGAGCTGCTCCGTCGAGGAATGCCACAACATGATCAAATCCGTCGATTCTGACGGCGATGGCAACGTCAACTTCTCGGAATTCAAGCACATGATGAGCAGCAACCGCGAAAATACTTGCAACTGTGGAGAAAAATAGATTAGCGACTTCCGATGGCTAGGCACTTTGTTATCGCAATATGTGACTAAGAGATCTGCACCTGTTATGCTCTGTCGTTACTTTTCTCCTCGTTTCCTCTTTGTATTTTGTGTTCAATAGGCGGGTAGAATTAGAATTAGAAAACTGAACGAGAAATTAATCCGATGCTTGCCGTTTTATATTATGAATTATAATTTCGATCGGTGAATTTATTTATGTTAGGTTTTCAATGGATTTGTTTTCAGTCGTGCGCGGCGCGATTAACGAATTGATTCGTCAGATATCGCCAACCTCCGTCCGTGTGTTAGCGGTTGGGGAATCACGGTGACGGTTTATTCTTTGTTGAATGGTGAGTTTTGAAGGGAAATTCTGGCATGCGGAATCACGCATTGAATCGATTATGATTTTTTAGTGTACAGAAAGATTAAAATTGGATATCTGTTTGAACACAGAAAAGGAAAACGTTGATAGGAGACCATGGAAATTGGTAGCAGCAGCATTCAATGGTAGTGGATGGAAAAGATGTGTCAGAGCTTTTAATGTCATAAAACGTGCTAAAAGTAAGGTGTCTAAGATTGAGATTGTGAAGGGCCACTTAGTATTTTCAAAATGTATTATACTTAAATTAACATATAAATTATACTATAATTTTAATTCTTTTAAATAAATATCTTTAACTATATTATATTCTGTTATAAATAAGCTTATTTTTAGACTTTTTTTCATAAATAATATTTTCCAAAATAGCACCTCTTCAACTTTATTTACACGGTTTACTGTTCACATAATAAAATAATATTATTTCGCGCAACTGTTTACTGTTTACGTATTAAAATAATATTATTTCGCGCAATGAACTCTCGTTCAAGCGAAGATACCCCTCGCTTGAGCGAGGAAATCTATAACAAAGGGGTAATCTCGGATGAATTATCGCTCAAGCGAAGAAACCGTAAGAAAGGGTTATCTCCGGTCAACTCTAGCTCAAGCGACTGCTATTTCGCTTGAGCGAGAAGTGATTAAAATATGTGGTGACCCAAGTTGCGTTATGTGGCTAACTACGTTGGACGTTTAGCCAAATAATACAACTTGGGTCACCACATATTTCAATCACTTTTCGCTCAAGCGAAAACACCTGTCGCTTGAGCGAGAGTTGACCCGAGACTTAGGATAGTGGTTCTAGAACTAACCGCTATTAAAAATATATTTCAAAAGAACTTCAAAAAATTGTTGTGAATCCTTCTTGAAAAAGTGCTAAGGTTTGCTTGAATGATTGCTTAAGGATGTGTAAAAACTGATATTCAATGTATGTTTAAAAAGTTCAAGCAAACTGATTTTAAAGAGTATTTTCAAAACTGCTGCATTAATTAATCTGTTGAAAGTTTGTTTTAATATGTTGAAATAGTCGTTTTAATCTGTTAAAAGTCCTTTCAATCCATTAATACGTTCTTGATTCTTTAACAGATTTGTTTTAGCTGATACTACAACGGTTATATCAATTAAAACACTTTACAAAACTTTTCTAAGTTTGATTCAATCGATTGTTTAGTGTTTTAATCGATTGATATACTTGCAAAACTTTCTTATAAAACTTTCCAAGTTATTTTAGGTGATAAAAGAAGTTTTAATCGATTAAAACTTTGTGCAAAATTTTTCCAAGTTGTTTTAATCGGTTGAAACGCGTTTTAATCGATTGAAACTCTGTACAAATTTTTCCAAGTTATTTTAATCGATTGAAATGCGTTTTAATCGATTGAAGCAGATCTGATCAGTCATAATTCAATTTGATCGATCATAACCAACTCGATCGGTCATAATCGCATTTGATCGATCATTCTGACCCTTGAAGTGATTTTAATCGATTGAAACGTGTTTTAATCGATTGAAATAAGTTCCGATCGCTCATATTTCAAATTTGATCGGTCATAATGGGTTCTAAAGGGTTTTAATCGATTAAAAGTAATTTGTATCGATTAAAATACTTGTAAAAACACTTCTTTGATCATTCTAAGCCACTCCACGGAATTGATGCTTGATGACCCCACAACCTCAAGCACTTTAACCCTGAGTAACCAACCAATCATCAGTCAAGAAATTTTTAAATTCTCTTTACATGCTATCATCCCCATATTCACCTTCAATGAATCAATTACAGTCAGCTCCAGGTAAAACAATACAGAAACAAGATAATTTCATAAACAGAACAAACTCCCCTTTTAGCAACATCATATAATGCAACCTGGGTCACCTGCAGGTTTTCTCGCTCAAGCGATGAACTTCTCGCTCGAGCAAGAATTGACCATAGCTAAACGTCCAATGCAGTTAGCCACATAATGCAACCTGGGTCACCACATATTTCAATCACTTCTCACTCAAGCGAAATTACAGTCGCTTGAGCTAGAATTTACTCGAGATTTTAGATAGCGGTTGTAGAATTGACCGCTATTAAAAGTATATTTTAAATAGCGGTTAACGTGGAACCGCTATTATATGTCGATTATTTTAAAATTATGATCGATTATTTCACGTTATAATCGATTATAAATATATTCGCTCAAGCGAAGAGTGTCTCGCTTGAGTGATAGTTGCCCATGGTCCAACTATATGTCTCACTTTTAAGAGCGGTTAATATTTTAACCGCTCTTAGAAGTAACATATAATAGCGGTTCCACGTTAACCGCTATCTAAAATTTATTTTTAATAGTGGTTAGTTCTAGAACCACTATCTAAACCCAAGTTGCATTATTTTGCTATACGTCTAACGCAGTTAGCCACATAACGCAACTTGGATCACTACATATTTTAATCACTTCTCGCTCAAGCGAAATAGCAGTCGCTTGAGCGAGAGTTGACCTGAGATAACCCTTTCTTACGGATTTCCTCGCTCAAGCGAAGGGTTTCTTCGCTTGAGCGATAATTGACCCGAGATTACCCCTTTGTTACAGATTTCCTCGCTCAAGCAAGGGATTCTTCGCTTGAGCGAGAGTTCATTGCGCGAAATAATATTATTTTAATACGTGAACAGTAAACAGTTGCGCGAAATAATATTATTTTATTACGTGAACCGTAAACAGTGCTAGTTGTGTAAATAAAGTTGCAGAGGTGCTATTTTGGAAAATATTTTTAAAAACAGTATTATTTATGAAAAAAAGTCTTATTTTTAATCAATCACAACATTTAAAAATAGCTATTTTAATACCGGAAATGAAATAGAAGAAGAGAAAATGATTAAAGACTAAAGAAAATGACATATATGAATGGAAAAAGTAATTTGATACTTTTTCTTATTTAGAAAAAATTTAATTATAAGTGGTGTTTGTCTTTTTGCATAAGACTCAATGCATAAATTATTTATATTAATTATTTTTATTCCAAAGTATTTTTAATTAAATACAAATAGTGGTATCGGTAAACATTTAAAAGAGAGAAAAAAATGCTAATGACAAGTTTAACTAATTAATCACTCACTACAAAAAAAAAACTTATTATCTACGGGTAAAATCCGTAGGTAATGACAAAAATCCGTAGGTAATGTCACTTTACCTACGGATTTCTTTCAGTAGAAAATCCGGAGGTAATGCACTTACCTTAACAAAATATTTTTATTTATTACAACCCCCTCTCTTATTTTTTATTATTACCTAGAACCCCCTCCCCTTTATATTATACTTTTATTATTTATTATATTTTCAAAACTTTGAATTATTATTAGATTAAGGGAATTGTCATTAGCAGGATTCGAACCCAGTACCTCAGAGTTGGAGCCGATACTCCAACCACTAAGCTATTAGGTTATTTTGAAAATAATTTACAAATAAATTATATTCATATTTATCAGTGTAAATATATAAATATAAAATATATAAATATAAAATATATAAATATAAAATATATATAAATATAAAATATATATAAATATAAAATATATAAATATAAAATATATATAAATATAAAATATATATAAATATAAAATATATATAAATATAAAATATATTTATATTTTGATATTTTGATATATTTATATATTTATATATTTATACATTTATATATTTGTATTTATATATTTATATATTTATATATTTATATATTTATATATTTATATTTATATATTTATGTATTTATATATTTATGTATTTATATATTTATATATTTATATATTTATCTATTTATATATTTATGTATTTATGTATTTATGTATTTATGTATTTATGTATTTATGTATTTATATATTTATGTATTTATATATTTATGTATTTATGTATTTATGTATTTATGTATTTATGTATTTATGTATTTATATATTTATGTATTTATATATTTATGTATTTATATATTTATGTATTTATATATTTATGTATTTATATATTTATGTATTTATATATTTATGTATTTATATATTTATATATTTATATATTTAAATATTTATATATTTAAATATTTATATATTTATATATTTAAATATTTAAATATTTAAATATTTATGTGTTTATGTATTTATGTGTTTATGTATTTATGTATTTATGTATTTATGTATTTGTATATTTATATATTTGTATATTTATATATTTGTATATTTGTATATTTGTATATTTGTATATTTGTATATTTATATATTTATATATTTATATATTTATATATTTTATATTTATATATTTATATATTTTATATTTTATATTTTATATTTATATATTTTATATTTTATATTTATATATTTATATATTTTATATTTATATATTTATATATTTACACGAATTAATATAAGTATAATTTAGTTGTAAATTATTATTAGAATATCCTAATAGTTTAGTTGTTAAAGTATCAGTTTTCAATTTTAAGGTACTTGGGTTCGATTCTTACTAGTGACAATTTTTTTAGTTTAATATAATTTATCTACGGATAGTAATTCAGTAGGTAATTACCTACGGAATTACCCACGGATGATATTACCTACGGAAAATATCCGTAGGTAATGGATAATTACTCACGGATAATATCCGTAGGTA